CAGTTCCTGCCTCCAGGTTCCTGCCTTGCTTGAGTTTCTGTCCTGACTTTCCTTAGTGATGAAGAGTAGCAATAATAACCTTAACTAAGACATTTATTTCTTTATTTTACAGGACCCTACAGTTATGAATTTTGGGAATTTTAGACAGACTTTAGAATTTTAAAGATTCTATAATTTTAGCAAAACTAAATATTTTAAAGGGATTTGGATATTTTAGAGAGGCTTTGAACTTTGAAAAAGACTTTGGATGTTTTAAAGAAATGACTTTTAAAGTGAATTTTTAAAGACTGTGGAACTTTTGAAGTTATTTGTGTTTTATATTAATATATTGGTGCTATATGAAATCATGAGGATAGACAAGAAAGGAAAGGTTGTGCCTGAATAATAATATGTTTGTGTGTCAAGTTGACAAGAGATAAATTGTGCTTGCTAGTTGTTTGGTTTTTGCTTTTTTGTTTGTTTTGTTTGTCAAAATGCCTCAAGCAAATTGGCCCTTGGTGAAACAGTGTGTAATTAATAGTAAGCCTCAAAGTGGATATTCAGAAACTGGTGGGCAGGAGAGAAACCTCCAGTTACACATCCCACAGTGATGCCACCTATGGCAGGTGGTCCTTAGTGGTATAAGAAAGAAATCTATGTAAGGCATAAGGACCAAACCAGTAAAGCAATATTCCTCCCTAGCCAATGCTTCAGTTCCTGTCTCCAAGTTCCTGTCTTGCTTGAGTTCCTGCCTTGACTTTCATTAGCAATGAACTGTTATCTGTAAATGTAAGCTGAAATGAACCATTTTCTCCACAAACTGCTTTTGGTCATGGAGGTGATCACAGCAGTAGAAGCCTTAACTAGGCCAATGTGGCTGTTGAAGTTCCAGAACCTTGAAATAAATAACAGCTACGAAGTGAGGAAGCTGCTAAAAATATTGCCGCATCTTGTTTCGAGAATAACTGTCACCTGTATATGTGATTTCACGGTGTGCTCTCAATAATGCAAAGGACATGGGGTTGTTTATTAGTCACTTATTTATACACATGGAAACTGACATTCAGCCCATCCAGGACAACAACAACACTAGCCTGTTCATTATCTGGTTGTAATAAATTTCATTTATTTACATCTTGAGGGAAGTTTTAACTTCTGGAGCCGGCTAATTTTATACTTCTCCATTGCATGAAAAAAGAAGTGAGTTGCATAGCCATGGATAGAAATGGAAGAAACAAAAATGCATATTTGTAAGGGGATGAAGTCAACCTCAAGAGTTTAGTGCTGCACTTTTATATTCTGAGAAGACAAAACTGTGGGCTCAGGGGAAAGGCCAGTCATTTTCAGGGAACAGAGAATTGGGCTTGTAACTAAGCAGAGCGTGGCGAATTTGAGGGCTACAGAGGGATGAGAGCACAGTGGTGGGGCTCAGTCTCTTACACCTGATAGATGGTATCATACCTTCAGTGTAGCCTAAACTATGGATTCTGAGTGATGGTGAATTGCCATTATTGTCCATCGGTGTTAACAAAGCCCCATGATGGTGTGATGCTGATAATGGGAGATGGGCAACATTTGTCGGAGGAGAAAGAGTACAGAAAATCTCTGTGCCATCTACTCTTACTGGCACAAACCCAAACTGGCTCAGAGCCAGTAAGAAAATAGTTCTTCACACCAAATCAAAATGCTTTCACCTGGAAGGTATTTATTATACAACAGGTAACATGGATCTATGAAAGCAGGGCTGGTGTTGGGTCAAAGTTTAATTTTACATGGGCTCATTTGTAATTATCTCTGAATGAAGGGAATTTAATAGCTAAAAAGGACATTAGATGTCACCTTATCTGCCAAGCAATGTTTCTGCCTTGCCACAAACAAGCCTCTCCACAATTAAAATACTGCTTTGCAGGCAAAATAGCCATTATCATCACCAATCTTGTTTGCTATAACAATACCACAGGCAAGTAAGTAATCTGTAAGCAGATTTATTTGGCTCATGGTTCTGGAGGCTGGGAACTCTAAGACCAGACTGTTCAACACCTGGTGCAGGCTCTCTGCCTGTGTCAGCTTATGGAGAAAAGTTGGGGGTGAAAGGATGACTGTGTCAGCTTATGGAGGAAGACTGGACATGAAACGGGGACAGAGCTCATCTTTTTGTTAGGGTGCCACTCTCGCCATCACAGCAGGCGTCCTTTCTTGAGGACAGGGCCCTTTCAACTTCACTCGCTCAACACTGGCTGCTCATTATTACTGCACTGCGGGTCAAGTTTCCAAGGCACTTCTGAGTCTAGTGGCCCAAACCGATAATCATAACTGCTGCTACTCCCGAGACTAAGACAAAAGATCACACAAATCCAAGGCTTTCCCTAGCTACAACAAATTTAACGGTCTATGTGCTTGCTGATATTCTGTCTCAAAACGAAAAATAATAAGGAAGAGGTCTGGGGATGTGCCTAGTAGTAGACTGTTTGGGTAATTATATCATAACAGAGCCCTAGGTTCTATACCCAGCACCACTGATGGGAGGCTAGAACCCCAACACATGAATTTTCAGGCCATATTTAATTCACCGCGACCATATTATTTGAATTTTAATACCTAGTTAGTTCTTTCTTCTACACATTGGCTGCTGTTTTTATGAGATACAGTTAATTTTTTTCACATGAACAGCCACAGATAAGCCTTTCCAACCCCGGGGAGTGATTCAAAGCACTTTTTACCTCATTTTTGTACTGACCCTATCTAAAAGTGGAGAGTTGTCCAATGTTTCACTAGAATGTCACTGGAAAGTTTCCCTCCTTCTTTCTGCCAGTTTTTTTATACCACCAGCCAGGGTGCACACAGATCTGCCCCTAGCATACCCTCTAACGGGCGGCAGTTGTTACATAATGTGTATTTTTGCTCCTGGGTACCACAAAGGCAGATTACATGAGTAACTGAAGGCAGAACAGAAACGTGAAGGTTCCTGCTGATATCCTGAAATCCTGTGATCCAAAGAAAATCCAAGTCTTCCTGACCAGTTACCCTCTCAGACAAAGAAGGTAATTTATTTAAAATAATACAGTTAGGAGCTGACCAGGTGGCTCAGCTGTTCAGAGTTCTTGCTGCTCCTGCAGAGGACCTGAGTTTGGTTCCTAGCACCTATATTAGGCAGCTCATGAGCACCTAAAAGCTCCAAGGAAATACCTTGCCCACTCTGGCCTCCACAAACTCCAGCATTTATTGTATACATACCTCCTGCACACGCACGTGCACCCGCGCACAAACACACACACACACATGATTCAAAATAAAGCGAATCTTTAAATAATGTAATTTTAAGGCTTTGTGGAACCCACATAAGCATCTAATAATTGTGGCTTCAGCGTGGAGCTCACAAACTGTAATTTCAGAAACATTCTATCTGCTGATATCGCCACCGTGCTCTGTTGCTGGAAGAATGCATTAATTTTGAATTCTTATTTTATAACTTCATCAGGTTAGGTTGGGGTTGACCCATCAACTTCATGCCCATGTGTTTCTTTCTCCAAGCCACAGAGACAAACTCCCCAAAGTTGATAAGTGTAATTGTTTTGGAAAAGTCAAGAAGCATTTGCTAGCAAAACAAATGGTGAACTCGAGACCTCCAGGATGGAAAGAAGCTGCAGGAGAGGGGTGTTCACAGAAGCAAGGAATAGAAAACACAAGGAGCCATGGAAGAAGACATCATCTTGGAATAGACAGCAATTCCCCCAAACCCTGAGCCAACTCTCAGGGCCAAGATGAGAGAAAGGTTGTTAGCTCCACGGCCAACATACAGAAATGCACAGCATAGCCAACAAGTTAGAAAGCTCAGCCTAAGAAACATGATTGTGTTTATAATAATGAGACCAGAGAGAAACTCAAAATGTATGAATCCATCATGAAGGAACATTTTTAACTTTTTTTTGGAAAACTAATACAAGGAAACCAGGAAGTTGGATTGGCACCTAGTCACAGTGACAGGCAGATGTTCTTTCCTGCATGTCACAATGAGTGAAATTCAAGGCAGCTCACCGAAGGTCAGCTCTGTGGGTCACGTAGGGGTAATCTCAAAGGACATATGAAGGGTCAAAGATCAAAACAGCTCAGGCAGTTCTGATGCCAAAGGACAGAAGGATGACGTAATGTACCAAATTCCTAGATTTACAGAAACCTCTAAATGGCCAACTTAACACTATAGAACCCAGAAACGGTGGCACGGTCACAGGAAACTGAACCATGATCAAGAAATTGGTGAAGGTGGACTCATGACCAGAGTCTTCTTCACAGGCCAAGTTGAAAAATTACCCCACATTGCAGCCCTTAATTTCAGATGGATTAAATGCACAACCACTTACAGAACTACACTAAGCAAATAACCACCATCCCCTAATCTCCTCATCTACAAAGTGGAACAGTGTGGTAGTTTGAATGTAATTGCCCCCATAAACTCAGAGAGGGCACTTGTTGGTGGCCTTGTTACTATGGAAACAGGCTTTGATGTCTCGTATAGGCTCAAATCACACCCAGTGTCTCAGACAACTTCCTGTTATAAGTCAAAATATAGAACTCTCCACTCCTGCTCCAGCACCATATTTGCCTGTATACCATGTCAAACCATGAAGGTAATGAACTGAACCTCTGAAAATGTAAGCCACCCCAATTAAATGTTTTTCCTTTCTAAGAGTTGTCCTGGCTGTGATGGCTCTTCACAGCAATAGAAACCCTAAGGCATAATTACATATAATTCCTTACACATCAGGAAGAGTAAAGTAAATGAGGTGGCTTTTTATTTGTTACTCAGAACAACATCTGATGTATACAAATATGTTTGTTCAATAAACAAGCTAAGGTCAATGACAATAATTCAGCTGAACAGACATGCTAAGTTTCTCTGTGGCATCAAGGGACATGAGAACTTTTTAAATTAGATGCCAAGACCATGAACATAATTGAAAACATAAATAATTTGACGTAGGGATGGAGAGATGACTCAACAGTTAGGAACACTGGCTGCTTACCCAGAGGACCAGGGTTTGGTACCCAACATTCAGACATCTGCTGACAACTATTTGTAACTCTAGTCCAGAGGATCTGAGGTCCTCTTCTGGCCTCCACTGGCCTGCATGGACATGGTACACAGACATATATCTTAAAAAATAATAATTTGACTCTATTAAAGTTAAAAAATCTCTACATTGAAAGATAGCATGACTAGGCTTTGGATTTAAAGAATATATTTAAGTGTATATAATATCCATGTACAGATTTGTAAAGATCTACTAGAAATGAAGAAAATACAAATAATCTAATATAAAATAGGAGCAAATAATATTAACAATGATTCAAAAAAGAGACAATCCAAAACTTAATAAATGTATAAGCTGTGTTCATACCATGGACAGTCAAGGAAACAGATCTAAACTGTGAAACAACTATACAATATCTATCCCTTTACACCCTGTGTTTGTCCTTACACACTGTTTGTCCTTACACACTGTCTGTCCTTACACACTGTGTCTGTCCTTACACACTGTCTGTCCTTACACACTGTGTCTGTCCTTACACACTGTGTCTGTCCTTACACACTGTCTGTCCTTACACACTGTGTCTGTCCTTACACACTGTCTGTCCTTACACACTGTGGCAGTCCATCCTGACTTACTATAACAAAACACCAGAAGCTGAGTGCTTTGCCACCTCTGTTTCTCACACACCACAGCCGTCAATTCAGAAAGACTATTGCCGAAAAACTCCAGAATTGTTCCACGTCTCAGGACCTTACTAATACCCTCTGGTCTAAGCTTCCATCCTTCCCTCCTGGACCACTGCAATGGCCTTCATTGCCTATCTGTTTGCACAGGCGCCACCTTTTAAGGTATTTTTGGCATGTTGACTGAAGCAAAATTTGAGTCAGATCACGTTACTTTCCAACCCAAAACCCACCCACAGCTCCCACCCAGGGAAACAAAAAACCAAATGGTCACAAACCCCTACATACACACCATGATCTGGTTCCCAGTCCTCCTTGGAACTGACCTTAAACCCTGATGTCCCCATCCTTCGGCCCCTGCACTGATGTTTGACCTGAGGAGAGGCTTCCACCTCAAGCCCTTGGCACTTGGCTCGAGAGTTTCCTCTCGCTACAATGGTTTATTTTCACCTATAACCCTATACTTTCTGGAATTCACACAAGTAGAATCATCTCAGTTAATCTCCTCCCAAACAGGCCACTGCTTCTAAACTCTGACACTCCCCACAGGTGCAGTCTCGCAGCCTACAGATTTCCCTTTCGGGGGAGGAGATGGTCTCTCACATACATTTTATTGACTGCGTGTTTCAGGAGCAAATAATTTTTGTTGTTTTAGGCATTTGATATAGTTCAATATGCAGTAGGCACCCAATAAATACTGACTCAAAAAGTAAACGACTGTATGAGTTATAAACCTACTGTCTTCTGAGCACCGTGCTTATGCCTGGAACAGAGAACATGGGTCCAGGAGAAATTTCTTAGGGGCTGGAAATTATCTAGCAAAGCATAACTGAAGGATTGCATATCCACATTCACATGGATCAACAGTTTAAAATAATCAATTAAAAAAGCTTTGTAGGAGAATTCCTCCCTTCCAACTTGACTGGGATGGTTGTCCTGTTTTGGTTTGGAAGAGGTAATTCTATTATCCAAGAGTGTGGCCCCTCCTAGCCCCGTGAGAAGCAACCACTGCTGTGCTGACAGACACTCTACTATAGACATCATACAGATCCTAAGAAGTCAGAAACTCACACTCTGTTCTCTGTTCTTGTGTCAAGCGGGACCCCCTCTCGGACCTTTCTGTGATGACTTTGAAGTGGAATGACAAATTGGAGCCCTCTTTCCCCTTCCCGCAGACAGTGCTCAGCCTCACAGGTGGACCTCTGCGTTCACAGCAGAACTCGTTGACCTACCCACCTGGAGACTGGGCTCTCGAAGCACGGCGGCTTGTGCTTCCCTTAGGTCATGGAATTGCATGGGTTTTTTATGACTAAGAACATGATTTCAGAAGCCTGTTTTGGTGTGGTACAGATGGTGTTTGAGTGTGGAGCTCCGAATCACAAACTCTCCCTCACGTCTCCCAGCCCAGCCCTAAATCCACACTTGCTTACATTTAAAATGTAGGTGAAAGATCTTGGGAAAGAAGCCACAGCCTGCATGAAGATCACACTGGATGTGAAGAACTGTCTTTATTGAATGCAGATACGGAGGGACACGCTCCCTCATGAGGAATTCCCCCGCCAACACGCCCTGTGGGGCAGCTCATCAGGACCCGTCTGCTTATGCAACCCAGAGCCTTCATCTTCTAGCCCCTTCCTTTAGTCGACGCGGGTCTGGCTTTCATTATCATCACCATGTGTTCGCTCCTTGGTGTATGCTGCAGTCGTTGACTTGTAGAGCATAGGAAAGAAACGAAGCAAGAACAGCAGAATTTGGGCGGAGCCAACAGCAGCCCAGAGTCTAACTGAACTTCCTCAAAGCAGGTCCTGAAAACAAAGGCCTACAACAGTGCCTTTCGCTTGACCCAATGACCAAAGCCAAGTTCTCTGTGTCCAGGTGTTCTTCAGCATGAATGAACCCCTGTTTCAACCTCATGAGGCCAGATGGGCCCAGAGGCCAGCTCTCAACAGCTCTGCCCTTGAGGACGTCAGTCACAAGCTATCTTGCTGTGGCATTCAAGAGCCTCCGGCCTTGTGGAGCCTGGAACGTCATAATGGTTCCGATCACTGTGGTAGGGGATCAGCATTGACCTTGAAATGATGTGTGTCTGAGGCATACTGTGCCAGTTCACCGAGAGACATGTCCTATTCCACTGTCTGTACCAGTCACTAATGGATGGTCTCAGTTACTCAAAGATGCTGTGACTGTCCATAAAACTTAACATGTGGAGGATACCCCTCATCCTGGGCACAGGTAACTGGCACTCAGTCCAGAAGAGACAATAGCTAAGCGCCAGCTCTCTGCTCTCTCTGTGTTCTGACTGGCTGCCTCACCTTCTTGACACCATGACCCGATTCCCTACCGTGAAAGGCTATCTTCACCTTGTGAGTCAAAACTACACTCCCCTTTTTTGTTTGTTTGTTTGTTTGTTGCTGTTGATATTGTTGTTGTTGGAGTCAGGGTCTCACTACAGAGCTCTGGTTATGCTGAAACTCTCACACTCACAGAGATCCACCTGCCTCTGCCTTCCAAGCGCTGGGATTAAAGGTCTGCGCCACCACTATGCCTGGCCTTATGCTCGCCTTTGTTGAATTGTTCTTGTTAAGTGTTTCATCACAACAATAAGAAAAAAGAGTCCCAGAAATAACCGACACATAGCTACTTCATCTTTGACAAAGGTGTCGAAAATATGCATTGGTAATAAATAAATAATACCTCTGCCACAGAGGGTGCTGGGAAAACTGGATATCTACATGCAGAAAAAGGAAACTCACGGTGCTCACGGTGCTCACGGTGCTCACGGTGCTCACGGTGCACAAGAATCAATCAGAATGGATCACAAGCCCTCACGTTAGACCTGAAGTACTAAACTGCTTGAAGGAAACAGGGAAATCACTAAGATACAGGCACAGGACAAGAACTTTTAAAGATCGCTCCAGCGGCACCAGAAATAACCCTAAGAATTGCTCAGTGGGAATGTATGAATTTAAAAAGCTTCCACGTAGCTAAGAAATCAGTCAAGAGAATAAAGAGGCAGTCTGCAGATGGGAGAAAACTTTCCTAGCCCCAGAAGTCATAAACTTATTCTCTTAAACATGTTCTTCTAAAATTTCTGTGTGAACGAACAAAACACAAATATGTACAGGGAATTTCAAAATGAGACCCATTGCTTGATGCACGTGTCCGCCTCCCACTGACATTTATAGAACTTCTTCAGCAGAGTCTTGTTAAAGCTAGGCTGCTGTCCTGGTTTAGAGATGTGTGGGTTCCTCCACATCTTTAGGAGATGAGTATCTTGTAGGTGTCTCCCCTTCTCTGGCTTGGGTCTACAGAGGCACGGCTCTTCTCTGATCATTGCTTCCTTTCCTGTGCACAGCATCCAGTTGGAACATTTGTCCAACTTCACTTTTTGGTACCTGAGATTTCCCAGGGAGAAAAATAATTGCCAAGATGTTTTCTTTCAGCAATTTTACTGCTGCAGGTCTTAAATCTGGGTTCTAATCCAGCTTGAGCTGATTTTGCTTTACACATCTTAGTTTTCTCATGTTAAGAACCTCTCCAAGACTTTTTGTAAAATCAGAACCCTCAGCCCCTTCAGCAGCCAATTGAACTAGCTAATAAAATTAACTTTTCCTTAAGGTTAGGCTTTCTATTAACAAAAGGTTCATGTTTCTCCATAAACACAGGTTGATACATCTTGATTTTTTTTTCTTCTTCATTTATTTTCTATTAATATTTTTCCTTTACTTGATTTTGGATTTGTTGTCATAAAGGTCTTCTTCATGATTTATGGTCTTTGCTATCTTCTAAATCTTGATTCAGTTTGTTATGGTGCCTTTGCTTAACCCAGGTAATGGTTTTTGTTTTTTGTTTTTTGTTTTTTAAAGCCCTTTCTGTTTTATTGCACGTTGAATCTAAGGACTGATTTGGCTTTTTGTTTTGTTTTGTTTTCTTCCTTAAACTCAGAAGCAAGATCAAATCAGGAGGGGACAGCAAACTTTTTTGTAGAAGTCCAATAGCAAGCATATTCTACTCCGTGGTCTTGGGGGCTTCAAAAGCAGTCAGAGAAAATTGTTAGAATACGGTTGTGACTGTACCCATAAAACTGGGCTTGTCCTGTTGGCACCAAACCAAAGTTAAACTTAACTGTTGTTTAAAGCTTGGTTCCTCCAGCCACTGAGCACATGCAAACCCAACAGCCACAACTGCAAACCCAGGACACTTTCATCCAAGGGTCTACTGAAGAATGCCTCCTTGGACCTTGGGCTCACTTTCTGAAGTCCCTCTTTCCAAATTCCAGCTTGTGTGGTGCTTTCTGGTCAGACCCTAAGATTGTCCTCAGGCCTATCGTGAGGCCCATGAAAAGCCCA